GGTACGTTGCATTGACTTTTTTATTTTTTTTTTTAAAGAAATCCTAACTTTACATCTGTACGCATTTTGTTTACCATAATGTAAAAAAGTAAATATAGATTAAAATTTTTAGATGAAGAGATGTAGAGAAAATCATATGAAACGATACTATTGTGTGTCTTTTGTATGATATACGCAAACGCGACTTCATGTTGATTCTCAAATTAAGAGAAAGTTAAGAAAGCTGATTGATATACATAAGGTTGATGTACATAAGTCTGTCGGCTGAAGGCATTTTACTTTCGTTAGAATTAAAACAACACATGCAACGTCTCGCGTCGCTTCTTCTCGCGGCTCGTATATTAACCATGACTATATCCGGCTACGATTACAAACGCGATGACCAAACGCAACAGTCATTGTTCGATAATAATGACGCGATGATTATTGCGTTACTTATTGATTTAATTCATCATTATTTGTGGCAGTTTACACTCTGATATAAGATATATAGCCTATTGCAAGATATTTGCGTCATGTATCATATAAAAGGATATATTTATAGAATGATTTATGAGACGTGTGTCTTAGTTCTTCCTGGATTGATAATATATAGAAGTTAAAGAACTTCCCGAGGGCACATTTGCATTCACGTTGGAGGAACGCGTCGCGTCATGTATTCGCGCCGGCGATAAATCGTGAATCCGTACGCATTGCAAATTTGTCACTCGCGTATTACATTAAAACGTCAACCGGAGCAAGGTGGGAGCTGGTTAGCCGCAAGATCGATTTTGGATAACGTCCTAACGTCCTGTGCGCGTAGCACGGTGCAACGCGCGAGACTCGATTCCCGGACGCCTGACATCCGGACGTTAATGGATTAACTTGGCAAAAGCGCGATTGCTCCACGATAGAATCACCGCGGGACATTACCAGCTGCATTCAATGTTACATCCATCGCCATTCTGTTAGTCCGACATGGGATGCATCGCGGATAGCCACGTGGATTGATAAATGCGTAACGCGCACGCATAAGATCACAAAGCGTCGATTTATGGTTCCGCGCCGTCGCCATTCGCCGTCGCGACGATTCTATTTATAATTGCGCGGAAACCGAAGGAACTCCCTCGGCTGGATGAGGGACGACGCTGCTAGATGGACTATCGTCTTTCGATTTCATAGAGGAGCCGCGAAACTCCTCGGCAGTCGAGCGTGTTTAGCAATGGCCAAAATCTCTGTCCATTAATTATACTTATTAATTATGTCAGAATCAAATCTATTAACATATTAAGATTATTTGTATATAAACAAAGGAGAGTGACTGCGATATTGTGATATTATAGAAATACAATTCAGTGATGAGAAACGTTGTAAAAATTATAAAAAGCTATATTTAATCTTAATTTGTATTATTAATCTAATATTAAGTCTCATGGCTAGATTAGCAAGGACTTAGCAAAAAACGATTAAAAATGAGAGCATGAAAAAACATTTCTGACATAAAAAGTATGTTACAAAAATTGAGTTTGCAACTAATTGTTATATTATTAAGAGCATGAAGGTTTTTTTTCTTAAAGTTTCTTTAGAGAACGGGATCCGTTTAAAAAATCCTATATAATCCCCTTCTTCTTGGGTACGATTTGTTATAATTATTCATTATTTTATTGTATTTCTTGCCTTAAAATATGATACTACTTCAACATCATTATAGTGACTTTTCATTATAAAGATTAAATGTTGATTGTAGAAGAAAATTAGTTATGCCAATCAATTCTGCGAGAAAAGTTACAAAAGAAACAGGTATATATTCTTCTCATATCGCTTTCCATTTACGCAAAACGATATTATTTGAATTATTAAAACTTGTTCTTGTTTATAGCTAAACTAATAAGATTAGCAAAAAAAATAACAATTACAAAAAGTTATACGTATTTCTTTTATAACTTTTCTCACAGAATGACGGCATGATAAGTTTTCCTCTGCTGTAAACATTTAATAATTTGTTTATAATAATTAGTTGATGTTTGTAATGTGTTTTTATGTTAGAAATCTTTTCTCGTGTTCCAGTCTTATTTCTAATTGTTATTTTTTTTTGTAACTCTGCTAATCTAGCCACGGACTTTCATAACATAAAAAGTTACGATATATCAATTAGTAGAAAATATTACAATCTTGCCTTGAAAAAAGCAGCTAGAATGTTTCAATTTTTTTTCTTTTTATCAATATAAAATATGTATATCGGTCGTTTTTATGTGTTTACATAACTGGAAGAGAGAATAGTAATGAAGTCGTTTTAATTTTCTATTTTATTGGCTCTTTTTTTCCGTATTAAAAATGGCATTTCGTATTTGAGTTCCAGTTTATCCTATAAACTGAAAGAAAAAAAAAGATATTAACTCAAAACATTTGAATCGTAAGTTTACTTTGTTTTCGTGATTTCTCTTGCGAAAGATATATTTTTGATATTGACAAATGGATGTAAAATTCAAATAAGCTACTGTAGAAAGAATAAACTGATGTTTTTTCTCAACGCGGATGAGTATTTTTGCGATTTATTGTCGAGGTTTTTATTCTAGTAGATAGAGATAATAGCGAAATCGTTAAATCCAACGTATTTTTAATGGCCACGAGCGGCATCAAGTATCGCAGTAAAATTTAGAAGCTGTGATGAATCGTAAATTTATAGAGGCATACCTTTCGGCTTTTCGCTCTCGAAAACCATTCGCAGCGGTCGACTGCGTTTCAACTACGGACGTTTTGTCAGAAGGAAAAGTCTGCAAACTTCTTCATTTTTTCGCATTTTTTCCCATCTAGTGGTTCTCGCGATTTCCTAATGCGGTTGATACAATTGATACAATGTGGCTGTAACGAGAAATACTGGGAACAGTGAGCAAGATAATGCATCGCAAAGTATCTGGGATTTTTCTATAAGAGGAACGTTCGTTTCTTCATACAGTATATTGCGTTGTTACTAATAGCTAATATAAAGTTATTAATAGCTAATTCGATTGAAGACACTGACTAGAGTGTACATTAAAGCAGTGGTAGACAAATCGATAATGCATGTTTAACATAAAAATACATGTTTAATATAAATATATATTAAACATGCGAAATATTTGCATTTTACTTTTATACTAAAATTAGATTAAGTCAAGTCGTTGTATACTGATCTAATCTAAATGTAAAAGTAAAATTATAATATGCAAATATTTCAAATGATAAAATGATCAATACATATTTCGTAAAATCAATAAAGTATTGAGGATTTTGCGATTTAATACATGGTGCATACACCCAGACAGCACACAATTTATAAAATATTTACAAAATTTTGTAACTATTTATAAAACTAATTTTAAATATTTTGTAAATATTTTTGTGGTCTTAGATTGCACAGATCATAAACATTTATTACAAATATTATAAAATATTTGTTGTAATTGTTACAGTAAATACTATGAAAATATTTAATGAGACATTATAATCCAGTAAAAAATACTTATTAGAAATATTTATTTATATCTATTATAAATACATAAAATATTTAATTTATATTTTAATAATAGATATTTCGAATGAAACTTTATATTAAATATTTATAACATCTCAAAAAATGATTAGTAATAAATATTTATCATATAAATATTCTGTGCTGTCTGGATAATATGCACCAGTGCGCATTACATCCAATTGAATTCATTATAAGAGAAGCATTTGGGATTGCTGAATTACTTTCTAAAAGACTTGCCCGGGTTTAGTACGCTTGGATTTCGCGTCTGATTTTTACGACGAATTATTATGCAAGAGCTTAATTAAAAGTGCGCGATTAAAATTAAAATCACGTGTATGCCACGCGTTTTATCAAATACGAAGCATCGTACGGCATATAAATTCTGCGAGGCGCGATCGTTACTTCAACAGGGCGCGGTCGAATAAACTCGTTTTGCTCGTATGCGTCGCTTTTGACTCCTCCACGTCGCGCCGCTTCTCGTATTTCTGTCTCATATGGTCACGTCTAAGTGCTGGAGTCCGCTGGTACTTTGTATCAATGATCGCGTTCAGGAAATATAATAGTGCAGTTGCGAACCCTGTCAGTCGCGGCGATTGAGTATGATTGGTTGTATCTATCAGTATGCATCAATCATCAAACTCAATTTGCTATCGTAGCTCCTTGCAACAGTTTAATTTCCCGAACGGAAAACACCAATTATGGAAATTACCGAATCCAATTTGCTTTCGGATTGCCCTTAGATGGCCGTCTAATAAGATTGATCCTCGTATTCCGCTTTCATCGGGAGAAAGGTAGGACAGTAAAAAGTGGATAAATTTCAGAAATAAGGATATTCAACTGTATGTTAAATATAATCAGTAATTCGATGTGGTGTTAATGGATTTCATTCTCTCGTGAGTCGTGTTAATGGAACGGGACGACAGTCATCCGCTAAAATGTGCTTTTTCCTTCGGTATTTTATTACCGAATTTTAATTACGGCGTGGTCCATTCTGAAATCTACTATATGAAAAGTACGAAATGAGAAAAAGTGGACGCTGTTATATATATAGAGTATAGTTGATCCAAAAACCAGTTTTTTGCGATCTTTTTGGAGCAACATTGCAGGATAAAATTCCGTTATATCTAGAGTAGCTGCTGGATATCACATTTCATTTCAAATACGCTCTCAGAGAATAATATATTAGATTTTCTTTTCTTCTAATCAATCAGGCAAAATTTTGCAACGCAGACCCAGAAATTCCAAAGATAATAATTGCTTCCACATTGCACGTGTAATCTTTCAATGTCTGCATATTACTTTGCGAAATATGATCGCGTTTCTCAAAGCGGCAACGTCACTTCCGGGACTATCGCGTGCGGGAGAGAAAGAGAGAGCCAACAATCAATCCTCCAATTCATCTCGACGTTATTTTTTTTTTTGTCGCGGCATCGTTAGAACCCTATGAAATTCAATTCGCGCCCCGTCATTCCCGTGTATCATTTCTGGATCCGCGTTACGCAAGTACCTTTCACTGGCACGCTAGCTGTCACCTTCTTCTGCGGCGAGCCACATTGTCCGCGTCTAGGCGACTCGGCGCGATGTGGTGCAGCGTCGCGACGCGACGCGACGCGTCACGTCGCGTCGTGCCATACGGCTGCACGGCATGCGGACCGATGGTATTCTCGATGCGATGCGCGGCCCCTCTATTTTCGTCTGGCACTGGAATCCGCGTCGAATTCTATCATCCGCGTCCCCAAACGTCCCCCGTGAGCGATCTCGGAGTTCGCGCGAATATGAATATGTACGCGCGATGTAGTTAAGATAGTCCCGAGTATTAAGTCTGTAGAACAATAGTATTTTTTATTTTCTCAGTCAGATAATCGTGCTTACGACTTTCGCGCGACTTACACTTTGCATAAGAAAGAAGTACTTTCAGTAATTTCTTCAATGAATCTTAACGCGAATCTTAATGCGTATATATACACGGTTTTGATTAAAAATATTAGATACCTAATTGATTATTGTTTAAAGTTTTAACTTAAAAATTAATTTATGGCGTTTGCTGTGAATTATCTTTTGTTTCAAGAAAACAATAAAACTTTAAACTTATAATGCCCATAACCAATTTAATTGTAAGTAAAAGGATTCCAGATAAATGAAAAAATATAGGTGTCTAATATTTTGACCAAGACTGTATATATTTTATATATTAGGTGTTGGAATTAATTCGTAGCGTTTTTTAATGAAAGAATGTTATTTATTTCACATGAGCATTAAAAAATACATTAATGAAAGTACTTCCCATCACTTGTAAAACGCTACGAATTAATTCCAACACCTAATATAATACTGGTAATTTCTAGGTCACTATGTAGATAAAAGAATTTTAGATAAATGGAAAAAATATAGGTGCATAGATATATTATATTTTCACCAAAAATATATATATATATATGTATGTATGTCTAAATATGCATATATAAAATATAATAATATAAATATCATTGTAAAAATTCAGTGTCTAATAAGAATGATTGACGAACGATTGGAAATAATATAATAAAATTCTCAATACGATTTACCTAAGCGTTACGATTTTTATTAAGTTTAATGAGTCCAATATTGAAAACTAGTAGTCAGATTCAAAATAGGAAACATTTCCGAACGTTAATTGAAAATATGAGACATTTCTAATATTTACATGGGTGTAGCAAAGATTTAACTATTCATGTAACTGCCCATAAGCAGTAAGTAGGTTATTGGATACAATTGCCTTACTCGAAAATAATTTAAACGACATTTTATGACAAGAAACATCTGTATAAAATAAGAAATGGTTAAATTCGATTTAAGATATATTTTTAAACTTAGCGAATTGAATTTGATATTAAGTAAGAATCGATAACTGTTAGATAACTGTATCTTACGAGATAACAAGGTACGATTGCTGGAACGAATATTACTAGAATAATTTATGTCTCGAGGAAAGTAGAAGCGAGCTTCTGTCACCTATCTCTTTCCCCTTTAATCCCTCCCACCGATGGTTCATATCCTTTCTCATCTTTATGCGCATATTGTGCTTCGTTACATCTTCACGAGAGTGTTCAACTACTTCGACGTTACGCATCTCCCGATTGCATAATGCACAGCGCACCGTTATTTCCCATAAACACAGCTGGTAGCCGCGGCCAATCTCTTATAATAAATCACTTTCCTTAACAACACGATTAGCTTCGGTCGGACGAAGAAAAATGGATATCTTAAGGGAGACAGAAAGAAAGTAAGTTCTACGCTTATTCTATGAAGAAATCTCGTTCTATGATTAGAAGTTCGGTTGTTTAACGTTAGTTTTTTGACGGTACCTCGTTAAGAGTCATTAATCATTAGATATAACAAGCTGCTAACGATTGCAGAGGAACGGAGTACGGAGTGCACGAATTAATTTCGAATTAGTAAGAATTAATCTTGGGAATCGAGATGATAATAAATTAAACGTTAGAATGGATTATCTCACTAGGGGCGAGATAAGTTATTAAGTGGTCCACGAGGATATGGATCATTTGTATTTTACGCACTATTTCGTTCCAAAGATTCTCTTCCTCAAACTTGCTCCATGTAAGGAGATACCTCGAGAAATAAAGCAGTAACGCGTTAACTGTTGGCGGTAGTGCGTTTACATTATTGGTATGACAAAGACTAATACATCCGAGAAATGAAATTAACAAAACTTGGGCCAATGTGTCACGGCCTTAATTCCCTTAGGGAATAACTTAGGCGTGTCGTATCTTTCGTGAACGTTGACAGGTGATTGTCGTGAATTCATCGGCGTGAAGCCCGAAGAAAGCCGCGTGGGCTTTCTTCTCGCAAAATTAACATCTCTATTAATATTATACGAGTCACGAAATTGGGCGTGACTTACCGACTCTGAAACTACAACACACGATAGGGTATGATTTAATAAACCAAATGAATTTTAGCCGCGTTGCTTGATTGAGGCCGTAAAAAATTGAATTTAAGGGCGAGACTATATGTAACTGTCGCGAATGACTAACAAATCGTTGTAACTGAGTCGTGTGGCGGATTAAACATGGCTATTATCGAATAATTTAAACACAGTAGTCGCAGAAACACACAGCATGCACTAAACATCTCGCAACGCGATGACATGTGCGCGAGCATCATTTATTGTTCTATTTTAATATGTTCCTCCCTTATTTCACCCAAAGCGAAGAAATTCTCTAAAGATGCTTGAACTTTGAAAATACATAGTAATTTAGATCGAATAATATATAATTGATAAAGTTTTGAGCTCAATTTCTTTTGCATATTTATATTCCTAAAAGAAACATATTGAGAATAAAAAATTGAATTTAATATATTGTATTTACAATAGTAACAAATATTATAATATATATTTGCTAGATGATTTTTAAGAAGAAATAGTTATAGAAAAATGCATTTTGAAAAATATATACGAATAATGATATGTAAGAGAATTCTTTGCAACTCATATAGAGATAAATAAATGAAGCAATTCATAATTTATCTACTAGAAACAAGAGATATTGGCGTGGTACACTCTAATGGTAATCTAGCATTCCAAACTTACTCATGCCAGATGGTGAAAGTACTGCGGCAACCTTTAGCCACTTTGCCCGTCAGCGTTTCTTCCGTTTACGTACTTGAGAGGAGACCTGGGAACAGTCATGGAGAAATGTGATTGACCCTTCTAGCCCCTGAACCTCCAAGGGTCTTAATGGAATTACTTTAGAACAATCTTTCTATCCTTCTGTAATTTTCTGTAAATTTTTGTTATTGTGTTGTCTGCATGTATTTTTCTGTTTAAGATACACATTTACATTTTAATTCAATTGACAATTAATATAATAATTTTGTCCAAGATTAAAATATTGTTGAAGTAACAATTAACAGAATCCATTTATGTGTCTTGTTACATTTTTTATATATATTATTATTTTCTCTTACGTCTCACATCCTATAATAACGGAAATTATTTTTATGAGATTAAATAGTGGTGAAACTGCTTTGCAAAAATTTTCATCATCTCTCTTGATGAATGTAAGGGCACTGTGACTAGAGATTTACTCGAAACGAGTTTGACTGCGAAAGCACTGCCGCTGGAACAATGCCATGATCTGTCCTTTAGGAGATACCGTTAAGTCACTAAGAAAGCCTCGTTCGCGTCTCGTTTGACTCTGTGTGAGACTAAAAGTGAGAAACTACAAGAGCATTACGAATTTAGATGCGTGAAGATCACGATATCTCAAAGTTTAACTGATAAGCGCATCTCAATGAAGGTTGAGCTTTTGCTAATTTGACGATACTGAATAAAGAAGAACAAAGTCAATAGCACCATAAATTATCTGCACGTGATTTAAGGTTTCTGTATAATTATCTAAATTTTTGAAATTTAAGATAAACTATGAGAACGTAATTAAGGAAGGCTCTAATTAATTAGCTTCCTCTCGCTAACTACAAGTCTATTAAATCAGATATGAAATGAACAATCTTGAACGAGTAGCGATTCGCGTTTCTTTCTTTGTAATCAATCAACATACTAAATAAGTTGAATTTATCTCTGACTTATAAAGTGTATATCAATTAATCCTAAATTTGACATGTCAATGATCGATCAATTTAGAATTATGAAATTCTACGAAATGATCTCTCCATTCTTTTTCTTACTAATCACGGATGAAGAAACTATGAATCTTCGTCGTGAACGTCTGCGTTTTCGTAGTTATTTCCCGGTAGTTTTTCTCGAGCCCGTCAAGAGAGGCCGACAGTACGTATATTTATAACGCCAGTCGCTGCTGGTCGGGAGATTAATTCACTGCGGGGCTTTTTTTTACAAGGATGCAATTTACGTGAGTTAAGTAAGTGGGTAAGTGAGAGCATAGAGAACGGAGCGGCCGGCCGGCTGGGGATGATTAGGGCGGCGGGCGCCATGAAAAGTACATGCGCGTTGCATCGCCGACCAACTGCATTTTCTGCGACGGCCACTGCAAGTGGCCGAGTACGCATGCCATCGGGACTTACGTCGTCGGATGCAAATAATACATAAGTGCGCGTAAGGCGGGGTGGGAGCGGGTAGGTGACTACGAGAGTATGAGCTAATGACCGAAAGAGTATGAGGCCGCGTCCTCGAGTTTCCACGACGTGAGAAAAGAGATCGTGCACGACTCACCGCGTTCCTTCGCAAACTTACGTCCACGTATCGGTTGAACTTTACGGTCCACCTGCGTTATTATTTCACCATTGCCATAAGCGGTATGCACGGATAAACATGCGAGGATTGTCCAATCCTTTTTCCTTCACGGATTCTGAGACTAGGAATCGATTTGTTTTCTCTTTGATCGAAGGTTCCCCTGATTCATAAGTCGAAATCAAGTTAATTGATTTTTCGGACTGTTTGATTTGATATCGACTATATTTTCTATTGATCTTCGAAGAAGATTAATAGAACATCTAGTAGATATCAAATCAAACGGTCCTAAAAATCAATCGATTTCAAATCGACTTATGAACTCGGGCCGTCTTTGTCGCAACTATTATCTTCAATGATGTCTTGATGATTAAATATTAAACTTCCTCCTACAAGAGAAAGTTCGATTAATATTCGAACAAGAATTATCTTCTTATATCATGAAGAGTTTATCATCACGATAACTTT